TGACGAGGATGACAAGGGTAAGGTCAGGGTAAGGGTATGATGCGAGGGCTGATACGAGGAGGATTAGGAGAAAAATAGTAGGGGCCCAAGCGTCTAGATGTTCTTGTAACAAACTCTACCTCAATGTTGGCAACCTTTGAACTTGAGGGACAGGATCCGTAAAACAGGAAGTTCAATGTTGAGGAGCTGGATGTCAATGTCAAAGAGGAGGATGTGTGGGAAAGAGAGCTCGACATTGGAATCAACATTGAGGATAGGAATCAACATTGAGGATAGGAATAACCGGTTATTGGAATATTCTGGTAGTACCAAAAATGACTTACAAAAATATCATTATTTGGGGCAGCATTTAATGCTGGTGTCAATATATATATATGCTATTATTTAGTGCTGTATTTAATGCCAGTGTTGATATATATCTCCAGTAGTACTTACACCTAAGGTATTATGTAGTATTTGGAGCAAGGTTTAATGCTGGTGCTGGGATTTAATGTAATTAACTATTGTAAGCCTTACTTATTGGGGAACCCAGGTGGTGTCAAAATGGTACATTGTGTCACATGTCACATGCAGTGTTGAATCAAGCGAAATACTACAGTACTAGGTGTCAGCGCTGCTGACTTATGACCTTGCGGAGTTTCAAGAGATCACTGGATAGAGATGCTATAAGAAATATATAGTGTTACAAATACAAGTTGATGGATCTTCTTTACGCATTAGACGGACTTGTAGTGCGATGGGACATGAATGGGACCAAGCCTCAAGATAGTGACCTTTTCCGCAGTGGCTTGGAAGTTATCAAAGTCCTTGATATGCCAAGCTGAATGCTAAATTGCATTTCTACAATGGTGCCGTTCATGATCTGGTTGGTGAGTGCAGGTTCTACCAGATGACTGTCATGATAAAGGAACAATTAGAAAATGATTTGTTTACTCCTGGTGGGTAGCCCATGAACACTGCTCTACACAAATGTGGACCTAACTTTTCCTACAGCTCCATTGGAATCCGAATGAAACAGCAAGAACCAAAGACCTGAAGATGCGGTGTGTCCAGTTTGGTGCCATGCAGCATTTTATAGGGCGTCTTCCCTGAGGGAAGTGAGTGAGACTTGGTACAGTTAAAGAGGTATGCTGCACATAAAGCTGCTTCTCCCCAGAGAGAGCAAGGTAAGTGTGCATGATTGAGCATAGAATACATTCTGCCTTCAATTGTGCATATCATGCGCTCAGCTTTACCATTCTGTTGATGTGCATATGGTGCCAATAATTGATGTATGATTCTCACACTCTCGAGATCTGCATTGAATGCAGCATTCAAGAACTCACCCCTGAGGTGCTTCCAGGAATGTTTATTATCAGTTGATACATTATATGCTCTCCGGACAGCCACTGATGACAGTTGTTATTCAGTTTTTGCTCAGGGACGAGGCACTTTACAAATTTGTACTTTCACAAACTGTTGTTGCTTCAGAAGTGTGCTGGGAGCTTCTGTTGATGTTTTGAATCCAGTCGGAATTATTCCTGATGAGCAAGGGAGACGAGGTATGCACACAATTTGAAGCTAAAAAATGAATGACTTAATAGGATGAAAAAGTCTTTATTGAATTTCTAGTACAATGCTGGGGTGTATATATGATGTTTGTCAACAGTGCAAACAGCATTGAAGAAATACAGGCTATGTTTGGAATATAATTGGTCAGTTTGAATGGTAATGTTATGATTTAACACTGACTTTGAATGTGAAGACCTTCAGAGACACATAGGCCAGTGGACATAGATTTACAATTAGTATAAAGTCAAATGATATTCTCAGTGACTCACTGGACAGCAACACAGTGCATCCCAGTGGAGTCTGTATAAATTGAGTGGGCAAAAGGGAGAACTGGAAGGAAAAACTCCTTGTGTGTCATCGACAATTGGCCTGTGCACATACAGCATTTTTGATGACCCATGAGAATGGAATCTTCCAGATTTTTGCTTAATTATTTATCCTATAGGTGTCGTACCATTGTTTTCCTTTTATGCATGTTTGTCTTTATTTTGAATCTACAGAAAACACCACATTGATGTGATGTTGCTCCGCAAGATTAAAAAGGTCACTGAAACCAACCCTCTAGCTAAAACCTGTCTGGCACAAAGTGCAGTGCTACAGCAGATATATCCACAGTCCGGCAGCAAAAAACGGCCAGGTAGTGGACTTTCAAGACACCTAGGTACATCTAATAGTATGTGTTAATATTATCACTCATTATTTTTGTATGGACCCCATATCTCAGCTACTGCCCTCGAATATTCACTGTCCAGAGCCCCAGTGGGTATGGGCTACCTCTACCAGTAACATTCAAGCAGGGTGGTATGAAATGAAAGTGTGGGTTGCTAGAATCACTCATGGCTAGCTACAAGGGCTTTGGATATGGTGGGCCGCATGACCGAAGAAACATGGTATTATTGTGTAAATAGTTGATAAATGTAAATGTGGAATAGATTGTTAGTTAGGAAGCATTGAAGTAAGCTGGAGGTATTGGGCATTGCTGCTGTAGTTGAACATTGAGGCCTCCAAGTGTTTTTTCAATGTCCGGTGTGCCATCTGCTAGCTACCAGCTTTGCTGCTGTTCTTGCTGCAGTGCGCCCTGGACTTTTATGCACCGGAGAGGTGGTTTCAGGGATGTTCTTGCAAGGTTACTACTGAGGGTATACAAGAGTTTCTACATGCTTACGTACAACACCACATGCAGTCCAACAAGAACTTTCAGTCCAGCCTGAGTCAGTCTTCTCTTGTTCAAGTTCTTCTTCCTTTGTTCAACAATTTGTACTGTTGCTTGTTGTTTCTCTTCAAGTTGCTCTTATTCTATATCCTGCCTGCCAGTGACTCAGACTACCATTGTGTTCAACAGTTTATACTATTGTTCATTTCATCCATTTGCCTACTTCTCCAGTCAATCATGAAGCACTTAATCCCCTTTGGCACTCTCCAACTCCAGTGCCTGGCCCATCATGAATCATGGACTGAACGTCTTCATCCATGAAGGACAACAATTCACATCCTTTAATGCATCCTCACTTCCTGCCATGGTCCCTCCTATCCTGCAACCCTGGAATCCACACCTCAAGTCCGATTCTTTGCCTGACAACATCAAAGATGTATTGACTGGGCATATGAAATGCACCCATGATTCCCTCTCATTCCAATGAACCCCATTTTTGATGGCGCTGTCTTCAGTTGCCTCAATCATTCATTTTACTCCCTACCCATCAAATCAACGCCAGATGGCCGTCATATCCTGTGGAGAGATGTTAGACAACAATGGGAGACTTTAGAGCAGAAGCTCCTCTGGTGCCAGGGACATTTAGCTGTGAATATCCACTTCCCTTGGTATGGCCAATTTCCATGAGCTCTGAGAGACTACAGGTACTTAAGGTCCCAGGGTATGAAGCCTCAAGTTGTTCGAATCTGTTGATTATTCAGACTCATCTTGTACATTCTCAGGTGTCTCAGCTCTCTGTACATATTTTATCATGACTTGTCAGTATAGACCTCACAAGGAGTCATTTACGTGGACCGATCTCTTAACCAATGATGCTCGATGTCCAATACCCTCTACATGAGTGACTGAACTCTCCCGCACATTCGTTGGGGATCCTACAGATGGCATACCACACACTGGTATGATTATAAATGCCACCTACGGTCTATCCTGGGACACAGATGTCCTTATGTTTGAACACTACCAAGTTCCAATCTGAGTATATTGGCCTTCCAATGTCTTATCCAATAAGACTTGGAACTGCTATGTTCCCTCAGTCAAAAATATTGCTGCAGCAACTCACACAAGTTGGGGCAGCTCACAGGGTGGCAATAATCAGTGGGGCATCTGGCTGGATGATAACCCATGGGGGCACTGTAGAAAGCTGATTCCCACTGGGCTCAGCAGAAATCATACTACCTAGACAACAAATATTTAGGTAGATCTTAGCACAACCTAGTCTGCTATACTTGCAGAGCAAGTACGTTCGATCCTATGGGGGTAGCTGTTTGGTATTAGTTTCGATAGTCAGTTATCAGTAATAGGAAGATAATCTGAAGCTAAGAACTACTTGTCCAAAGGGAAACTGTTGGGTCCGAAAATATCGGAGTTGGGTCGGGTGTCGGACTGTCAGGAATTGCGTCAGACGGTGAAGGAATGTGTCAGAAGTATGTCGGAATGTCAGTCAAATGAGTGTCGGATGTGTCGGAATGTTTCGGAGAAAAAGAGCGGATAGATATTTCGCAATACAATTAAGTACTACTTATATCCAATGACTTCCATCCTACTACTGAGTAGGGAAAAGTAAGTAATGCAATAGGTAGGAAGTACTAGATATTAAATAGTGACTATGTAGAAATTTGGACTGCTATAGGCGAGAGTAGTAGCGATATTTCAGGTCTGAAATCCTATGTAATAGGACATGTGGTACTGCGGACCATGAGAAAACATGTAATAACACTGTATACAATGCTTAGCAAGTCAAAAGGAGTAAATGCGCACCTAGTGGGGATAGATGTGACTGGGCAGGACATAGGGAGGACTGGTCCGATGCGTGGGAATGTCAGGTCGGGATTGGGCATGCGCCAGACTGTCGGACTCGGGTCGGGGTAGTCGGAAGTGTGTCGGACAAATACTGTTTGACATCAGTATCAAAATAGCTGGTTCCGAGCCCAGTGCCGCGACCATTGTTACAGCGCCCAGTCTAATGATGCTCCATGGGGTGCTCAGTCTCAGTCAAACAACTTGGAGCAGACCCCAGTATACACTGTGCAATCCCAGCCAGATTTGTCTTGTTTTCCATTTCCCAATAGAAATAGTGGGCAGAGGCATGGCAAACAAGGAGAAGAAGGAGACACCCTCACACAGACAAGCATGACTGAGTTGTGAAAATTTAGCAGAGAATCAGAGAATCCCTGGGAAGTCCAGCACAATTCAGGTCTTTGAATGGCAGCCTCAAGACAATTATAATGACTTCATGTTGTGCACCCACATTACAAAGGCTGGAGTACAGGACATCTGGGGGGATTACAACAAATTTACCAGGATCTTCAACTCCTTCTCCAATCAGTGGGATCTGTGTCTCGCCCTTGATCCAACTAGCATGCCTGAGGGTGATAACCAAGAAGACAACAACAACATCATGCCTCCACTGCCTACAACTGCTCTTATTGATGTTCCACCTCTGGCCCCTTCCAGTTTCTTGAATGATATATACATGTACTTTGGCAGTAATGTCTCACTTTCATCAAGGCACAAGGACATTGAAGGAATTGTCCCCGTCTTGCACTACTACTTTGGATATCGACCTATGGCACCTAGTTCTGCTCCCCTCTATGCATCCATGCAGTTACACAAGTGGATTAAGAAAACTCATTGGGATCACCTCCACAAGCTCCTTGGAGATTCAGCTGCAGAAACAGGCTCGATCACAGTGCCACAACACCAAAGCATCACAAATTTTATTGCATATCTGATAAACTTGAAGGAGTCTGACTTAGGCATTATCTCACCTGATGTTTAGGACCTAGGACCTAACCCATCTCTACAAATTACACATGCTTATATCCGAGTCTCTTGCGCTAATCTATTGCAATGTCAGTACTACATAATCAAGCCCTGCCAGTCCCTAAGTCTTCTCTTCTGGACATTGGCCATCCCCAACCTCATCACTGCTATGATGTGCCTGCGACGTAACTGGGGTTCAGACATTAAGCAGATAGAGCTTGCTCTCTTGTAAAAAGGTATAGCATTCAGGACCCTGCAGTCCATGGCTGTTGCACCCAACTTTTGGCGTCCTCTTACTAAACTTTGCACATACATCTTGTGGCATCAATTGTCATCTTTCTGAGCTACATATGCAGATCATGTTATATACGAACAGCTACACCATGAGTTTATGAATCGGCCCCGAGCGAGGGCTGTGTTCCTGCATGGCAGACTCGTATGGCAGCTGGCTTTACACAGCATGGGTTTTCACCATCTTCCATTCATTCTTAATGGTATCTCAACCGAGGCCATTCCATTTGGCAACCTGTTAGTGGGGAATGGGTCAACTTACTACAATAATGGATTGCAAGATGAAGAAATCGATTTTGTTTGTGGAACATACTATATAGACTGGCATAAGCTTACCCGTGTACAAATCAATCACAGTTGTTCTGACTTATACTTGTATACTCGTGATTTCTACCTCACAGCCCATTGGATGTGGTCTCCTGGTGGCCCCGGCCCAATGCTTGGGATGCCTCAGGCTTGAATGTCAGCTTTTGGTCTCCTTGTTGCAAAGGTTGGTTCTAACAACATCTTGACAACATCTGAGAAGGGGTTTCCCACATGCGGCATTCATGCACCAGCGATACCAATGGTCCAATAACCACTACACAATGAAAGCACTTGCTTACATTCAACTCTGGTACTAACAAGATAGTACATAACACTTCAGTAGCGTGTTATGACTTCCTAACAAGAGCATCTGGTAAGAGTAATCTAATTCAGACCTAGTAAACTCCCCCATTCCTGACCATATGATTTGGTACCATTGCATCACTCACTATCGTCAATCCCATGTTTTTCATCAGTCATGGTGTGGTCATGTAGTAGCAAGATTAACACTAGCATTGCGCCCAAGTTGTAGCCCTAAGCCATGCAGAAACATTTGCTCCACCATGACTGTATCCTGTATCACGTACAAATTAAGTAGTAAAGTTGCAGTAACATCACATTTGATTCAAACAGTGACTGAGTTAGCACCTCCAAGAGCCTGAGCCTGAGTGACTTCATCAGGCTGCCAGTTGGATCCAGATTGATTACTGACTTGGACAACGGAAGTTTGACTCACAAGTTGGAAGTAGAACAGACACGAAGGTACATACCAACATGCCAACAGTGGTAGACTAGAATGATGAACTTCATTGGAGTTCAATTCAGTATATAAACATAATCATGTGATCAGCAACACCATGTTCCAAAGTCCAACTCAGACACCAGGTTGCTGCCAAGTCCTTCTTCTTGAAGTTGAAGTTGAAACTTCAGCTTTGCAGTTGATCCTCCGAGTCAACTTGGGCTCAGCCTCTCAGCGGTATGTACTATTGAGTCCGCCTCCCCTTATCTACTGCCTTTACCACCCAGCAGTCTGTACTGCTAAGAGGTACCTCAAACTTCAAAGTGACTGCCGCCGCAGTGCCCAGTCAGACCATGGTAGCCTTAGGCTTCTCTGACTCAGACACGGCTATTTCATTGCGAACTGTGAACTGAATCTTGATACCTTTAACAGAACTGACATGTGCATCACTTGGATGCTTCAAGTTGTCCTTGAGGAATAAGATATGGGCTCAGTGGTACTACTGTACTGCTGAGTCTTGCCTCCCTTTACTATCTACTGCCTTTACCATCCAGCAGTCTGTACCGCTGAGAGGTACCTCAAACTTCAAGGTGACTACCGCAGTGCCTAGTCAGGTAGCCTTGGGCTCAGGCTGCTCTGTCAACTAGCTATTGAGAGCCTCATCAACTTTGTCTATGTCTGAGTTGATTTGCCTGGCATTTTGCTGGTTATTGTGATTCACAAACTTTGTCTTATTGCTAGGAGACCTCAGGCTCTGAGGTTTGTACATTCAGTTGGCAAATGCTCAGACTACTATATATCATCGTACTGATATTCTAAGTGCTCAGTGTGCAGAAATTCCTACAATATAAATATTT